TTTCCTTGGTCACTATCTCCCAACCCAGATTGTTCCTATCGCTTGGGAATTTGGTTTCATCCCTCTGGTCGCAACTGTCAACTTCCATTTCGACAATGCTCTCCTGTCCGAAACTGATGGTAACTTTCGCCATTACAGCTTCATCTATGGGATTTCCAGCAGCTTCTATTACTTCAATTGAGAAGTCGTAACCGTTGACAACTTCGATCATATTAGCCTCGACTGGCTCTGTGTAATTTGCGTCTGCCATTTGTAGAGGATCTGAGTCGACCTTCATTTGGCCACCAACTTTCTCTCCGAATTATAGACGTCCTTCTTGGATCGCATTCTGAACGAGGTCCCTGAAAAGGAAACATTGAGATGTTTTATGACCCAAGAAGTTATGATATTTACAAAACCCCCTTTTCTTCCTTTGTTCTATGGATGGCATTTTGGTGCCAGGAGGCACTATCATTTGTCCATCTTTAACTAACAAATCGAAGATTTCATCACATTTTGTGATGTCGAAGGTATATGTTTTCTTTGGGAACCTATCATTCTTTTCAGATTCGACATAACTCTTCCCTTGTGGGGGAGCTAATACTTTGCACAAGTAAGGTGGTCCTTGCTTGAGTTCAGCAAGGTCCACTTCGCCATCGTCGAAACTCATAGACTCATCACACAGACCTTCGACGTTATCATTAAATTCAACGAAAGCTACCTTCTTATTTTTATTAAACTTAGCCTTCTCGTCTTTGAGTCTTTCGAATTATCGAACTCGATCGGCTAATTGGGCCATGTCCCTTAGGTACTGGGTGTCCAACTTTTTCCTAATAGAGTAGTCGAGACCGCCGGCGGCCATTTCGACCAACTCATGTTCAGGGACCTGCGTGAAGCATCTGGCCTTAAGAAAATGGAACCTATTAAGGTACTCCTCTATTGGTTCAGAGAACTTCCGCTTTACGCTAGCTAGTTCCTTTAGGCTAATTTTAGTCTGACCCATATAGAACTGTTCATGAAACAAACGCTCTAATTGGGTCCAGTTACATATCGTGTTAGGGGGAAGCATTGTGAACCGGGTGAAGGTGTTCTTAGTAAGAGAACTTGGGAAGTATTTTATCCTAAGGCTTTCTTCGTTTGCTATCTCTCCAGCCTCAATTAGGTAACGAGCCACATGTTCGACAGTGGATTCCGTCGTATCTCCTGAAAACTTAGTGAATTTAGGTACTTTCGTCCTAGGAGGTAACTCCGCCTGAAGGATATAGTCTACTATAGGTGAAGTGTAGTTTGGCCTGGTAAAACCGGTGTTTAACCCATTTCTGGCCATAATTCTCTCGACCATGGCCGCTAGATTATTGTCTACGGCTATGTTGTTTCGACGAACACGCTGGACTACATTATCTGCGTCTTGGTTTCGATTCACAACCACCACTCCTGGATTTCTTTATCCCAAGCCACGTGGTTGGTTTTGCAAAGGCTCTTCCCTAAGCCCTTCGACTACCGGAGGGACTATCCTTCCTTGGTTTCCTACGTCGACTTCTACCATATTCACCAAGTTGTCTCGTGGGACATCCGCTACTGCGGCTTGGTTTCTAGTTAAGGGAGATACCCCCATGAATTCATCCAATCTTGTTAATTGTATCACCAATTGTTGATTGGTCTGGGTTGTATTTTGGATTAATGGTTGAAATATTTCACCCATAGTTTGTGACAAAGTCTGAACCATATGTAGGTTGCTTTCATCCATCTGTTGTCTCAAACAAGCAACTGAGGTGTTAGTTAAATTAGGGCCTTGTGTCAAATACCCTAGACTCTGGGTGTTTCGGCCCATGTTTACACCTGACCCTAACCCTTGTAGCGGCGAAGCCATCGCCTGATATGAGAATATAGGAGGTGCACTTTGGAGCCCTTGCATCATAGCAGTGGTCATCCCATATGAGGGGTTTCTTGGTGATTGTGACAAAACCAGGGGGCACAAACTTCCTGGACGTCGAACTCCCTCCTAACACAATCTGAGGATTCAACATTTGGTGACTAATGTATTCCAACACTGGCTGAGTATAAGGTCTTATCACTGTCGACCCCACCCCAAGTACTGATGACGTCGGCACTGGCCTCACAGGAAGCACCGTTTGTTCTCCAGTCGACGGTATCGAAGGGGGAACTCCCTCGTCTCTTATTCCTTCAATGGAACCGTCTGCTTGTTGGTTAGAGTTATCTGGCTGATTTGTATCCGTAGCCATGTTCTTACTGCTTCGTCTTGATCGCGTCTCTTCGTTTATAGCGGTAATTTTACCACTTCTCAGTAACATAAAAATGTACCTTCTCACGAAAAGGGACCAGTATAACTGCAGAATTTTTATAAGTTTATTTTTATAAAATAGATTCTCTAGCACTGTCCCACTGGGCGTGCCATTTTGTTTCCCTTAAAAATCGGAAAACAACCGCTGATCTTCCAAATCTAACTTTGGTGACTCACAGGATCGATCAGATTGATCCTAGGACATGTGCTAAAGGATTTATTTTTGGTTTTAATAATTTACTCAAGTTCCACACTCGAACAGTACTAGGATAAAAGAATCCTAAAGGAACATCTATTCGACTACGGGTTAATTTAAAGGTAAAGTGAGGCTTCTAATAAAAGAGAAGAAAGTTTGTTGGTAAAGGTGAAGTTAGATTGAGGACGAAGAGAAAAGAATTGTATAGGAAGGAAAGAGATAAGGTAAGGAGGAGAAAATGATAAAGACAATAACAATAATAAAAGGCTTTGTAAAACTTAAAGTAAAAAGTAAATTGCGTTAAGTTAAAAGATGGTGTGTTTACATCACGTACATTCTCTTACAATACTCGCTTTCTCTACACTCGGATACTTGGAGTAGTTTCAAGAGTAATTTGTACAATAGTAAATTACAACACACTTTGCACATGCCTAAGATACCCTATTTATAGTAACAAAAAATAACCTCTCATAACCTCCACCATAATCTTCTTCCGCCACTTGTCTCAAATGCATGGATCTATTACTCATAAGGTGACACGTGTCTCCCTCAATTTTCCACAAGCAAAACCGTTCCCTCCAACATTCAAATTTCAAATACTTCGACAAACCATCCGTCTCAGCAGGCGGTCGAACTCTTGGCTTCTGGGTGAGTTCTTCGACTTAGCTATCTTGCTTCTTTCGACCATTCTTTTGGTCTCAACCTATCTTTTACCCCTATTTGTCTTAAATAGCTCCTTTCTAACCGAGGCGTCGAATTTAGGAGCCAACAGTACGTCCCACCTACTTACTAATATCCATAATAAACCACCTAAAATTGAGAAGTTGTAAGAAATATTCGTTGTCCATTTGAATGGGGTGCATTCGATGTGGACTCGTTGAGCTGGTGTTAATTTTTCATTGATGATGCTCAAATTTACCGGGATACAACTATGCCTCATTAGTACCTTAAATTCACGAAAAAAATTAATTAATTTTACTGATAAATAAGATCCAACATTCAAACCAGAATAACAAAACAAATAAAAACAGAAGAACTTACATCAGTTTCATTTAGATTTCTTAGTGATGCCATCATTTCAGCAATAAAGAACTTAGCCTAATAAAATCCAAAATCAAATAACAACACTATTAGTAACCTAACGAGAAATTTATTACAACCTGGAATTTCATAAATCTATTACACTAACCTAAAAAGAAAAAAAACCTAAACTTTAATCCTCTTTCAGTTTTCCTCATTGAACAACAGAACTTCACAAATAAATCTAACCTTAAGGAAACGCGTGATATGATGAGAACATCTATCAGAACTATCAGAACCTTAAAAAAATTAAGATACCAAAGATCTATCAGAAAATCTAACCTTAAAAAAATCTAACAACACTATCAAAACTTCACAAAAAATTAAAAGGAAACACGTTTTCATTTGAGAAGAACATCTAACCTTAAGATACCAAAAAAATCGTTTGGTGAGAATTGCTTGCGTCGTCGTCGAACCGTGATATGATGAGAGCAGAGAGAACTTGATGCGTAGAAAGAGCACCGTCGTTGGTCGTCGTTCTTCGCACGTTGAAGGCCGGTTGTCGTGGTGTGTCAAGGTATCACTGGTTGTCTTGGTGTGAAGGCCGCCGGTTGGGATAAACAGTGTAAGTGAGAGAGGTTTTCTTTTTAGAGAAAATAACTTATCAGATTCAACGTTTTAGTGAGAGAGAACAATACAATCACTTACTTTGACCTAGCATTCAAAACAAAGTTACTAAAAAAACTAATACATTGAAAAAACACATACGGTTTAAGTGTACACGCTTAGTGTCAATGTATCATTTCTGTTATTCCATCCCTTAAGAGATTTGAGAGTTTTCAAATATATTTCTTTCATATTTGTTAATCAATAGGCCAAATATAAATTATATGGCATTAAGTTAAGATTATATTTTTTTAAATTTATTTATTTGGTCTATTTGATTCAAAATATCTAGTTGAATCAAGTTCGAATTAATAAATCGAACCGAATTGTTCGTAAACTTTAATTAAATTGAATTTGATTTAGAAAAAAATTTGTGACGAACTTGAGTCGAGTTTTGAACCGGTCTAATATTGATCGATCTAAGTTGAACCAAATTCGACTCAACTCGATTCAATTATAACACTAGACACGAGGCATGTCTTTGTGCCAAATGTGGGAGCTAAGAAAAATTTCAAGTAGGACAACTTAGCAAATTCAGAAGATCCGGTCTGCAGAGAATAAAGCTCAAGGACATATCCATGCATGACTCCATAAAGCAATCTTCCAACTAATTATACTAAACAGAAAATGGTAAGTACCGCAAGACAGAAAAAACCTTCTAAAAACAAATACTAATCATTGTTGCCGACTTAAGAATAATATAGTCATTAACATAACACATATAATATAACCATGCCGGCAAAGTATTACTCATAAATATAAGGAATCAATGTGAATGTATTTAGAGCACACCTCTATCATTCTTCCATCAAGCAGAAAATAAATTTTCTCTTGAACATGAATTATATCCTTTTCATTGCTCTCATTTTTGTGTTGAGTTTCCATGTTCATTTTACTCAAGGAAGTGAACTGTCCCTTACCAGTTCAAAAATATACATTGTCCATGTGAATGAACCACATGGTAAGATATTTACTCAATCAGAACAAGACTTACAAAGTTGGCATCATTCATTCATGCCACCAACTGTTATGAGCTCTAATGAACAACCCCGAATGATATATTCATACCGAAATGTGCTGAGTGGCTTTGCTGCAAGACTCACTCAAGAAGAGTTGAGAAATGTGGAACAGAAAAACGGCTTTATTTCAGCTCATCCCCAAAGGACACTACGTCGTCAAACCACGCATACTCCAGATTTCTTGGGGTTGCAGCAAAATATCGGATTATGGAAGGATTCAAATTTTGGTAAGGGAGTTATTGTTGGTGTTCTGGATTCAGGAATCACACCTGGTCATCCTTCATTTAGTGATGCAGGAATATCACCGCCCCCAGCGAAATGGAAAGGGAGATGCGAACTCAACGGCACAGCTTGTAACAACAAGCTAATTGGAGCAAGGTCCTTCAACAATGCAGCTATGGCAATGAAAGGAGAGAAAGCTGAAGCACCAATTGATGAAGATGGACATGGTACTCACACGGCAAGTACAGCGGCGGGTGCTTTTGTGGACAATGCAGAAGTACTAGGAAATGCCAAAGGCACAGCAGCAGGGATGGCTCCTCACGCTCACCTAGCAATTTACAAAGTGTGCTTTGGAGAAGACTGTCCCGAGAGTGATATACTAGCAGCATTAGACGCGGCTGTGGAGGATGGTGTGGATGTAATATCCATATCGCTTGGTCTAAATGAACCTCCTCCATTTTTCAACGATAGCACTGCCATAGGCGCTTTTGCAGCAATTCAGAAGGGAATCTTTGTAAGTTGTTCAGCAGGAAACTTTGGCCCTTCTGATGCCTCCTTGGTTAATGGAGCTCCATGGATCCTCACAGTTGGAGCAAGCACTATTGACAGAAGTATTGTAGCAACAACAGTGCTTGGAAATGGAGAAGAATTCGAGGGCGAATCTGTTTTCCAGCCTTCCGATTTCTCTCCAACATTGCTGCCCTTAGCATATGCTGGAATAAATGGAAAACAAGAATCTGCACTTTGTGGTAATGGATCCTTGAATGACATTGATTTCAGAGGAAAGGTTGTTTTGTGTGAGAGGGGAGGGGGTATAGGAAGAATTGCCAAAGGACAGGAAGTAAAAAGAGTAGGAGGGGCCGCCATGATTCTCATGAATGATGAAATCAATGGCTTTAGTCTCTCAGCTGATGTACATCTCCTACCAGCAACACATGTCAGCTATGCTGCTGGACTAAAGATCAAAGCATATATAAATTCAACTTCAACACCTACAGCAACCATTTCGTTTAAGGGAACAATTATCGGAAACTCATTATCGCCAGCCGTTGCATCCTTTTCTTCAAGAGGCCCCAACTTGCCCAGTCCTGGTATATTGAAACCAGATATTATCGGACCGGGAGTGAACATCCTAGCCGCCTGGCCATTTCCCTTGAATAACAGCACCAATTCCAACCTCAATTTCAACATTATGTCCGGAACATCAATGTCATGCCCACATCTTAGTGGCATTGCTGCTTTGCTCAAAAGCTCTCATCCTGATTGGTCACCAGCTGCCATAAAATCTGCCATAATGACTTCTGCAGACACGTCGAACTTAGAAAACAAACCTATTGTCGACGAAACACTTCAGCCAGCAAATTTCTTTGCCACAGGTTCGGGGCACGTGAATCCGTCGAGAGCAGATGATCCAGGGTTAGTATATGATATCCAACCTGATGATTATATACCTTATCTGTGTGGTTTAGGATACAGTGATAGGCAAGTCGGAATCATTGCACACAGAACAGTTAACTGCACTGAAACATCAAGCATTCCTGAAGGAGAGCTTAACTACCCCTCATTTTCTGTTGTGCTTGGCTCCTCACAGACACTCACAAGGACAGTGACAAATGTCGGCGAGGCTGACTCATCTTATGTAGCTGTAGTAACAGCGCCAAAAGGGGTTGATGTAAAAGTCCAGCCAGAAAAGCTTTACTTTTCAGAAGCCAACCAGAAAGAAACATATTCAGTGACATTCAACCGTTTAGAAAATGGCAATAAGACAGGAGAAATTGCTCAAGGATCTCTGAAATGGGTCTCTGCTAAACACACTGTCACAAGCCCTATCTTGGCCAAATTTGCGTAGGACAGTAATGTAACCAAGCAACAACTTGCACTACAAGAAAACAAGTATAATATAAAAAATGTGACAACTCCATTATTGAGCAAATTACCCAATATTTAATCATTTGATGTCACCTTACCTTTTCATATTTAATTATTTCTTAAGTGAATTAAAATTTTGGGTTAATTTTATGGGTGTCACCAAACATTATTAATAGCGCGAACTCCATTTTCACTTATTTTTTTTTCTTCAAAATTTTGAAACAACAATCTCTTAGATAAATAGGCACTAAATAGAGAGAAAAAGTGAGTGAAGTCTTACTCATTTTCTTCCTATCTATCGGCATTCCTTACATCGAAAGATTTTAATTCTTCCAGGGATTGCATTTAAATGCTTTCCATCTTCCAAAACCGTTCAGGAAAAGAAAAACTTGGTTGGGCATCGCAAAGCAAATGTGGTCAACCTAACCAATGTTTAAGAAATGTGACATGTTTATGGTGTGTTTATTTTGCCTTCTTTCAAAAATGATTTTTATTGTTTGGTATTTTGGATCAAACTATAGACTCGACTGGGTAGTCTCTTGGTTCGATTGAGTTGTGATATGTTGTAATTAAAATAGGATCTAGCATGCATTAGTCGAAAAAATGCATGTTGTAGTCGAAGTCTGATCTAGCATACAATGACTTAAGTTAGTCATGTACTTTGTTTTGTAATAATTATATATGTCATGTATGAGTGTTATCATCATATATGACATACATATACTTGGAGTCTACGTATATGTTATATTCTAGTTTGTTAGAGTAAGTGTTGGTTGTTGTTATTCATTCGTAATCTTTTATTACTAATTGAGAAAGTGAATACAAAAACAATTATAACAAATTTTGTTTCTTCTTCTGTCTTCAATCTCTTCGTAACTGAAAAAGTTTTCTTGTGTTTGCTCAAGAAATTATTTCTTTCATACAACATTGCTTCGTTCCTGGTGCGACAATTATCACAACAGAGTTGTGCGGTGAATGTGGATCATGTGAAATATTAGATCGAACTCTAGTATGGTCGAAGGGTAGCTCTTGGTTCGACAGAAATTAAGTATGAGGTCGAAGTCTGTTCGCATGCTACTGTCGAAGTAATGCGTGCCGTAGTCGAAGTTTGTCCTAACATGCATTAGTTAATATTGTTAGATTGTTAGCAAGTTGAATTGGGATTTGCTTGTAAGTCTAATTGTTTAAGTTATCTTGTACTCTAATTTATCTTGTAATGAATAATTGTTAAAAAGCCCATTAGGTTAGTGTGTTATTTTTCGTATAAATAGCATGCTAGTCTCTCATCTTGGTATAAGGAAAAATAGGAAGATAAAATCTTAATTCAAGTGAGAGAAGTTAATTTGTTATTCTTATATACTTGTAATCTTATTCTACGAGAAAGAAAAGAATAGCAGTTTATAACCAATCCTTATTGTTTCTTGTTGTTTTACGTTATTTTCTTTGTTAACCCTAACTCTTGTGTGTTTTTTGATCATAAAGAAACCGTTTATGTTTTGTTTTAAGACATCCGATTCACAACAAATTGGTGCGGTGAGTGTAGATAAGATGCCTTCAATAAAGTATGAGATTGAAAAGTTCATCGGAGTGAACAACTTAGATCCGTGGCACTTGAAAATGAAAGCCCTACTGGATCAACATGGTTGTTTGAAAGCGTTGAAGGGAGAGGCAACCATGGACGTTGTGTTAACGGAAAAAGAAAAGACGACCATGATTGAGAAAGCCCACAACTCAATATTGTTGAGCCTTGGTGATAAGGTTCTTCGACAGGTATCAAAGGAGACTACAACATGGGAATTATAGGTGAAACTTGAAAGTTTTTACATGACTAAATCTCTGGTGAATCGACTCTACCTGAAGCAAGCTTTGTATTCATACAAGATGAATACAGACAAAGTATTGGCTGAGTAGTTGGATATGTTCAACAAGCTGATTCTTGATCTTGAAAATATTGATGTGAAGATCGACGATGAAGATCAAACACTATTGTTGTTGTTATGCACTTTGCCCATAACACATGCTCAGTTCAAAAGAAACTCTCTTGTATGGAAGGGAGTCTCTGAGCTTTGAAGAAGTTGAATCAACCATGTATTCTAAGGACTTGAATGAATGAAAGGAGTATAAACAAGGGAAAATTCTTGCGAAAAGATGGTAAGTTCGACAAGAAGAAAGGTAAAAGTCAGCAGAAGTCTTATAGTGACAAAACATATGGTATTCGATGTTATCACTGTAAGAAGGAGGGTCATACAAGAAAGGTGTGTCTTGAACGTCTGAAAGATCATGGAGGTAAGGATAATGGCAACACAACCATTGCTCAATATGATTTCGACTCATCTGATGTTCTTGTGGTTTCAAGTGGCGACTCAAGAAAAGAGTGGATTATGGATTCAGGTTGCACTTGACACATGACTCCAAACAGAGAATTGTTCGAGGAGCTATGTTATCAAGATGGTGGATCGATGCTGTTGGGAAACAACAAATCTTGCAAAATTGCAGATATTGGATCTGTGAGATTCAAGCTCCATGATGAGTCAATAAGGTTATTGACTGAAGTCAGGTATGTACCTGATTTGAAGTGAAATTTGATTTCTCTTGGTGAATTCAGAAGGAACGGATATGTTTTCCAATGAGAGAAAAATATCCTAAGAATCATGAAGGGGTCGAAGGAAATCTTGAGAGGCGTGAAGAAACAAGGTTTGTATACCCTTGAGGCTGAGGTTGTAAGTGGTTTGACAAATGTTGCATCCACGAAAAATGTGTCGAAGATAGAATTATGGCACATGAGATTGGGCCATGTCAGCGAAAGGGGCCTGGTCGAATTGGGGAAGCAGAACATGCTAGGAGGTGACAAAGTCAAAAAGTTAGAGTTTTGTGAATCTTGTGTATTTAGTAAATCCTGTAAGGCGAAGTTTAACAAAGGCAAGCAAAGAACACATGAATCTCTAGATTATATTCATGTTGATCTTTAGGGGTCTGCAAGGAATCCTTCACACTCAGGTGCAAGGTATTTTCTATCCATTGTTGATGACTATTCCAGAAAGCTAGGGGTATTCATCCAGAAGACGAATGATGAAACTTTTGAGAATTTCAAAAGTTGGAAGGTTCTGGTCGAAACTCAAACTGGCATAAAGGTTAAGAAGTTGAGAACCGACAATGGCCTTAAGGTCTGCAACGAAGCGTTCGACAGTTACTGTATTAATTATGGGATTGCAAGGCATAAGTATCTAGCATGTACTGCTCAACAAAATGGTTTAGCTGGGAGATTCAATTGAACAATCCTTGAACGGGTTAGATACATGTTAGTTAGTGCTGAATTGAAGAAGGTGTTTTGGGCGAAGGCTGTTTCGACAACAACCTATCTGATAAATAGATATCCCTTGACTGCCTTGGGACTGAAGACACTTGAAGAAGTTTGGTCGGGATATCTACCTAGTCTCAATAGACTGAAAGTATTTGGTTGCATGGCCTATGCTCATATTAGGCAAGAAAAGGTCGAACCTAGAGCTCTGAAATGCATGTTCATGGGATACCCTGAAAGAGTCAAAACTTATAGGCTATGGTTCCTAGAGCTAGGCCATAGGAGGTGTATCACCGATCGAGATGTAGTTTTCAATGAAGCAGAGATGACTTTCAAGAAAACTGATGATGCTGACGAAGAGTTGGAGCAGGGAGAGATTCCTGTTGAGGTGAAGCATGTTGATGCTGAATTGCGTATCCCAGATTAAGTCGAAAAAGACGTAGAAAATATTGTCGAAGATGAGGAAACTGATAATGAATACCTGCTAGCAAGAGACAGGCCAATGAGAGTCATCAAGCCACCTCAGAGACTTGGCTTTGCAGATCTTATAGCTTATGCCTTAATCTTTGCTAGTGAGGTTTTAGACAGAGATCCTAGAGACTATAAGGAAGTTAAGAGGAGTCGAAAGAAGATTGAATGGTCGAAGCCATGGATGATGAGATGAAATCTCTTCAAGATGACGACACCTGAGAACTGATCAAGAAACATGTTGGAGCAAGGTTAGTCAGCTATAAATGGATTTTTAAAGTTAAGGAAGGGATCGAAGGAGTGACGTCAAAGAGATACAACACAAGATTGGTCGCTAGGGGGTTCACTCAGAAAGAAGGTGTCGACTTCAATGATGTGTTCTCTCTTGTTGTGAAGTATATATCCATTTGAATGTTGCTTGCCATGGTGGCCCAGTTCGACCATGAACTGAAACAGATGGATGTGAAGACTGCGTCCTTGTATGGTGATCTAGATGAAATAATCCTTATGAGGCAACCTGAAGGATATGTCGAAAGGGGGAAGGGAGATTATGTTTGCAAACTGAAGAGATCTTTATATGGATTGAAACAATCTCCTTGATAGTGGAATATGAGATTCAAAAAGTTCATGGCACGCATAAGTTTCATCAGAAGTCAGTTCGACCATTGTGTTTACTTTAGATTTCAACCTAGTAATTCATTTGTTATTTTGTTGCTCTATGTGGATGCTATTCTAGTAGCAAGCAACAATGTAGAAGACGTAATGAGGGTAAAGGTTGAACTCAATAAGGAGTTTGACATGAAGGATCTGGGGGATGTCCAGGATTCTTGGGATTGACATCCAAAGAGATAGAAAGCAGTTGAAATTATGTTTATGTCAAGAGGCATACCTACAGAAGGTTCTAAAAAAGTTTGGTATGTCAAATTAAAATCCTATTGTGACTTTGACAAACCCTTAATTCAAGATGAGTATAGATCAGTGTCTCAACACTGATGTTGAAAGAACTTATATGAATAGCATTCCATATGCTAATATAGCGAGTTCTTTGATGTATGCTATGGTATGTACTATACCTGACATAACATATGCAGTAAGTCTTGTAAGAAGGTACATGGCAAATCCTGTAAAGGCTCACTGGAAAGCATTGAAGTGGATTCTAAGGTACATAACTGGGTCTCTGAATAGATTCCTAATTTATGGTGGATCCTTGGGTG